ATTTTTAACAATTTATTTATTTATTTATTTATTTTTTGGGAAGAGCTATAGATACTGACATTTGGGGTATACACTAAAAAAGCCAGCTTACCATCCAATCAACCTGCACCAAAACCCCCAAATCAATAAGCCTACCGATGTAAACCTATGTAAAAGAGCTTCCATTAGCTTAATTCCTCATTTTTTTAAATTGAAACATAATTGATTGCACGTGTCTGTGGAGTACCATGTTGAATATCAATACCTGTGTGCAATATGAGATGCTCAAATCAGGATAATTAGTGTATTCAAAATTACACAATGTAGTCATTTTTTGTGGTCCTTTACCAATTTCTCACTAAATCCCCCTCTCCCTTCCCACCTCTGGTAACTCAGTTCTGTTCTCTCCTTTTGAAAGTTCAATGTATTATTGATTATTGTATCTTTATTTTTAAAATTTTATTTATTATTACTTTTTTTTTTTTTTTTTTTTTAGCTCTCACTTATGAGTGAGAACATGCTGTATTTCTCTTTCTGTGCTTGGCTTATTTCACTTAATTTTCTCTAAGTTCAATGGTGTGAATGGCAAAATTTTATTGGCTATTGTAAATAGAGCTGTGGTAAACGTGGGAGTGCAGGTGTCCCTTTGACATGACGATTTCCATTCTTTTAGGTATACACCCAGCAGTGGGATTGCTGGATCATAATGGTAGTTCTACGTGTAGTTGTTTAAGGACACCCCATACTGTTTTCCATAATGGCTGCATGAATTTACAGTCCCACCAACAGTGTGGAAGAGTTCCCCTTTCTCCACATCCTTATCAGCATTTGCTATTCTCTGACCTTTTGATAATAGTCACTCTAACTGGGGTGAGATGGTATCTCAATGTGGTTTTGATCTGCATTCCCCTGATGCTAAGTGGTGTTGAGCATTTTTTAATGTGTCTGTTGTCCATTTGTACATCTTCCTTTGAGAAATGCCTATTCATCTCCTTTGCCCATTTTTAAATCAGGTTATTTGTCTTTTTACTGTTAAGTTGTTTGAGTTCCTTGCATATTCTGGATATTGATCCCTTGTCAGATGATGCATGGTTTGCAAATATTTTCTCCCATTCTGTATGTTGTATTTTCACTCTGTTAATTGTTTCTTTTACTGTGTAGAAACTTTTTAGTTTGATATAATCCCATTTATTTTTTCTTTTGTTGCCTGTGCTTTTGGGGTCTTATTTGTAAAGTCTTTGCCCAGTCCTACTTCCAGAAGTGTTTCCCCTATGTTTTCTTTTAGTAGTTTTATAGTTTCAGGTCTTACATTTAAGTCTTAAAATCTATTTTGATTTGATTTTAGTATATGGTGAGAGGTATGGGTCTAGTTTCATTCTTCTACTTATGGATATCCAGTTTTCCCAGCACCATTTATTGAAGAGGCGGTCTTTTCCCCATTGTATGTTCCTGGTGCCTTTGTCGAAGACCAGTTGGCTGTAAGTATGTGGGTTGATTTCTGGGTTCTCTGTTCTCTTCCATTGGTCCATGTGTCTGTTTTTATGCCAGTACCATGCTGTCTTGGTTACTATAGCTTTGTAGTATAATTTGAGGTCAGGTTGTATAATGCCTCTGGCTTTATTATTATTATTATTATTATTATTATTATTATTATTATTATTATTATTACTACTACTACTACTACTACTAACTACTACTACTACTACTACTACTACTACTCAGGATTTATTTAGCTATTCGGGGTCCTTTGTTGTTCCATATGAATGTTAGGATTGTTTTTTTTTCTGTTTCTGTGAAGAATGTCATTGGTATTTTGATGGGGATCATATTGAACCTGTAGATCACTTTGGGTAGTATGGACATTTTCACAATGTTGACTCTTCCAATCCAGGAGCATGGAATGTCTTTCAATCTTTTTGTGTCCTCTTTAATTTTCCTCAGCAGTGATTTGTAATTCTCATTGTAGAGATCTTTCACCTCCTTGATCAGATTTATTCCGAGGTATTTTATTTTGGGGGCAACTATTGAAAATGGGCTTGCTTTCTTGATTTCTTTTTCAGCTAGTTCATTGTTGGAATATAAAAATGCTACTGATTTTCGCATATTGATTTTGTATCCTGCAACTTCACTGAAATCATTTATCAGTCCTAAGAGTTTTTTGGAACAGTCTTTAGGTTTTTCTATACATAGGATCATGTCATCTGCAAACAGGAAGAGTTTGATTTTGTCTTTTCCAATCTGGATGCCCTTTATTTCTTTCTCTTGTCTCATTGCTCTGGCTAGTGCTTCCAATACTACATTAAATAGGAGTGGTGAGAGTGGGCATCCTTACTAGTTCCTGTTCTTAAAGGAAAGGCTTTCAGATTTTCCCCATTCAGGATGATATTGGCAGTCGGTTTGTCATATCTGACTTTTATTGTGTTGAAATATTTTCCTTCTATACCTAATTTGCTGAGAGTCTTTATCATAAAGGGATGTTGAATTTTGTCAAATGCTTTTTCTGCACCTATTCAGATAATCATGTGGATGGTTTTTGTCCTTGATTTTGTTGATGTGGTGTATCACATTCATTGACTTGCATGTGGTGAATCATCTTTGCATCCCTGGGATGAATCTCACCTGATCAGTTCCTCACTCTTAAAAACATAAACATAACTGAGGATCACTAGACACTAGAGAAAAGTTTCCAACAATAAAGGCAGAAATCAAACCAAGCAAGGGGAAAAAAAGGAATTAGAATGAATGTAGGAAACAGAAGAAAACTTTAAAACGATAATATTTTCGGGGAAATAAGATAGCACATCCATGAAACAAGAACAAGATGATAACTAAAAACAAAGGAACTGAAGTGGGGAGAAAGGAACCATATGACACTTAAAAAAAAAATTAGTACTTTTTTTCCTAGCAGAGTTTTAAACTCAAAAATAGAAATTTAACTTTGGGATAATTAGGAAATTCCATGAGTGATAGAAATCTTTATGAATCTATAGAGAACTTCCTAATAAAACTTTCTGGGAATGATTTAAAGGTATACTATCTGACTTATTTTCCAATATTTTTTATTTTGATTGTATTAAATTTGTATATTCTCTGGTTATATTTTACAGCATTTTAAGTTAGCCTTGAACAGTTTAAATTCAGCTAATAAGATAACAGCTTTGAGTGGTGACAATTTGCTCTGTACCCCATGAATATTCATAACCAATAAAAAAATCACTCTCAGAAAATAAAATTTTGATTTCACACACCCACACAAAAAGATAACAACCTCAAAGAAATACTATACTAGACTTGTCTGTAATTGTAACGAGGATAATACACACACACACTCACACACACTGTAAACTTTGTTATAACAATACAAGATACAATGTATTCAGTTGGTCAAGGAAGAAGAGTATTAACCCGGGCAAATGAGCAAGATAAATTAGAAAGTTTTAAGATCAGGGCACAATTTAAAGAAAACGTGAAAATACCTGAGTTTTAATATTAAAAAAATTAAAATTTAAAAATTAAATAACAGGAGACAGAAATGGTACTCCAGCTGAAAATCATTTATATAAATTGGTACATAATCGCATAAGTAAAATGTCACTGTATATGGATCAGGAAGTGATGAAGTTAAATCACGGTACAGAATTTAGACTAAGTTATGAGTGGAGTTCTTCCATCACGTCAAGGTACAGACTCTTCTTTCCCAGTGGCTAAAGCCTCTACTTTCTAAATACTAGGGACTATCAGCTATTAGAGGCCAACATCCCCACAATGAGAAGCAATGGAATGCTTACCTTCTTTCTCCTTCAATGCCACATTCTCCTTTGTTCTTCTGAATTCTTGACTTCCTTTCTTTTCAGATTCGTATATAGACATTACATTGTTTATTCTTACCATTCTTGTTTATAAATGAAAAAAGGAACTAACGAATAATAATAAAGAGCTCTAAGAAACTAAAACTATGAGAGAGAAAATAAAAATGTTGATAGGTCAGAAGATAAAGTTGGCAGAAATTGCCTATAAAGTAGTACAAAAATCCTGAGTATAATTTTTAAATACTGATTTAACCAAAAAAAAAAAAAGATTTATAGCTATATCAAAAAGGAAGATGGGAAAAGGAATGATTTAAGAAAACTAAACCCTCAACTGATATAATAGGAAATTAGTAGCTAAGGTCTTAAAATGATTAGTCAGGAGATAGGAGATGCATATCATGTAGAATCAATGAGGTAAATATCAGAAGAAATAGATAACAGAGTTGAAAGTGCTTTTTTTCGATTTTTTTAACCTACATATTTATTCCTTTGACAAAAATTAATTTTTTAAAAATGGCTTAATCTTATTTGGCTTATGCATTCAGACTAAAACTAATGTGCAGAAGAATTCTTATTTCCAAGTGAGATTTGTTTTCAATTTATATATTACTTTAAATAGTTATACACAGAATTTTATAGGTGGAATGTGATCAACATCCATCTATTTATCGGTTTTAAAAGGATAACAATGGGTTATAAACATGTTAAGAAAATGAAAGTGTAGCTCTCAAGAAAAAAGTATAAGGCAATTTGGTGAACATTACAAATTACTTCTGGAATTTAAAAAAATAAAAAATATGATCATGACCCGAGCACAGGCACTTGTGAAGAAAGTTTTTCCAGCAGGAGATATCAGTTTCACTGCACTTTATAGGTGTGTCAAGTGGTGGTTCCAAGGAGTCACTGAGGTCACAAGACTTTCCCACGCTTCTGTAAGCAACAGACGCTTTTGCAAGGGCATGCAGTGGGGAGGGGGGAATAAAGAATGCATGACATTGAATCTGGGTAGATTCTAAAAGTATAGCCTTAAAGAGCCAAGTCTCCCCAAATTTGCCAATAGTACTTTCTAAAATTCAGTCTTCAAAGCCTGGTCCTACTTCAAAGGCTTTTTTTTCTTCCTTACCTTTTTTTTTTGCGCATAAACACAACCATTGTTTCTCACGTGTGTGTGAATTGCCCCACTGTCTTAAATGACAGACTTTGAGAGAAGAGTGATAACTCAGAAATATGTTTATGAACATTGCTATCTCTGTTCAGGTTTATACATTTTAAAGCTTTAAAACAGACGAAGGAAATAGTCTGGTTCATTTATTCATTTGCTTGTCTCCTAGTAAATCACAACCTTTCATTATATCCTAATAAGTTTGTTTTCAGTTGGACACACATAGAATGACTGTGTCATAAGTACAGACTACCAATTCTGAGCAGCAAGAGACTCTGATGATTTGTGATGATAGTTTTTTCTATTTATGATTCACAGTGTCATTTTTCAAAAAAAACAGTTCCACTTTGTAGATATGCACTGTTCCAGAGATTACAATGTACAAAGTGTTACAAGTCATTGGTTATTATTCTTAGCCAGTTATGCACTAATCACATTTTATTAAATCACCCAGGTAATAGTGATAGAACTGAAACCAGCATCTCAGCCTCAGTCCACACCCCATGTTGATGTTCAGCTGAATCCACAATAACCCAAGCAGGGCTTTCAGGAAAATTCTTCAAAACCTGTTTAAAAAACCACAAGGGGAAAAAAAAAAAAAAAAAAAAGAGCTGTGTTTTAGAAAGGGTGAGAACACGACTGTAGTGAAAAGAATGCCTGAAACTTAGCTGGTCCAGAAGCCCAAAAAGCAATATAAGTGACATGTCAAGCTTGTGACAGAAGGAAGAAGACCAGGCTGTTTTCATGGTGACAATTTTAAGAACACTTCAGAAAATTATCTAGGGCCACTACAATTTTTCCTGTTTTGCCTCCCTTGATGTCATCTCTTTTTAGTCCCTTCTACTTAACCACAGCATCCTCCTTTCCCCACAAAGAGAAAGGTAAAAGGGTAAACTATTTATTACTATTTATAAACACTCTTTAGCTAAATGTTCCATCGGTCCTTCCCTTACAGCATCCCCCACCCCACCTCTCTTATATGAGGCTTTGTAAACATTTAACTTGTCTAAGATTGCAAGTGTCTCCTCTGACTTAACCCACTCTCACCCCCAAACTGGAGAAAACTGAAGAATTAACAATACAACATTGAAATACAATGGGACCAAATCCATTGTCCAGTTCAGCTCATGGGTATTTCTTGAGAACATCTGGACAAGAATGACTATGTTTGCTATGGTGTAAGACACAAGAAAAAGCAAATTCAAGAAGCTGGAGTTGCCCAAATGCAGAATATCAAAAGAAATATGCCCTTCCAGGCATTTCACTGTTTACCCAAAAGCATGGGAGAAATATAGCCAGTGCCACCCCTTCAGCCTTTATTTACATGAAGGCAAAGTTTAGAAGAATGAAGATTGTCATCTCATTTAAACAAAATAGCATCTTCACTCTGAACTACCAAAGAAAAAGTCAGAGAGCAATGACTACCTTGGCACACCTGGCTCAGTTCCCTGACCCAATTTGAAAAAAATCAGGTTCAGTACCTATTCAGCAGTTGCTCAAGAAATTAGTTCAGTTCTTGGGATGACCCAAGAGCTCAGCTCAACAGCCCAGAAGAGACCCAAACCTTCAGGTTCATTTATGAAACGCTTCCTGTGTGCCAGGCCCTGCGCTACCTGGCACACTGTCACATTTGACTTCCTGAACAACTCTCAGTAGGCATACTGTCCATCTTCTTTAGATGTGGAGACCAAGCCCAGAGAGAGAAGGGTCACAAAGCTGGTAGTGATGAGAGAAGCTGAACCTGGTCTTTCCAACTACAAAGCTTACAACTTTAAACTCTTTTCAGCAGTTTCTAACCAGGGTTGAAAACTATGTAGGACCAGTAGAGGCCACTATGCACCAGACACATCAGACTGGCCTTAGGACAGAAGACAACCCTATTTAAAAGCCCACCGCTACCACCCGTCACTCTCTTCCCTTATTCTACTTCTTTC